ACCATCATTGCTAGGCCCAGCAGGGATATTCTCATGAGAAACTGCCCTTTGCACTGGGGCCTCTCTGTCACTGTCTGCATGAAAATCATTGACCGAACCATCTCCATCTTGCACCTCAGCCTCCATCTTGCACCTTTCGGTCAGCAAGTTCAGCAGCTCAACGGTATAACCTGTGGCAGCTCAGCGGTTTAACCTGAGAGCTCACAGAGAGAGGGAGTGAACCATCATTGCTAGGCCCAGCAGGGATATTCTCATGAGAAACTGCCCTTTGCACTGGGGCCTCTCTGTCACTGTCTGCATGAAAATCATTGACCGAACCATCTCCATCTTGCACCTCAGCCTCCATCTTGCACCTTTCGGTCAGCAAGTTCAGCAGCTCAACGGTATAACCTGTGGCAGCTCAGCGGTTTAACCTGAGAGCTCACAGAGAGAGGGAGTGAACCATCATTGCTAGGCCCAGCAGGGATATTCTCATGAGAAACTGCCCTTTGCACTGGGGCCTCTCTGTCACTGTCTGCATGAAAATCATTGACCGAACCATCTCCATCTTGCACCTCAGCCTCCATCTTGCACCTTTCGGTCAGCAAGTTCAGCAGCTCAACGGTATAACCTGTGGCAGCTCAGCGGTTTAACCTGAGAGCTCACAGAGAGAGGGAGTGAACCATCATTGCTAGGCCCAGCAGGGATATTCTCATGAGAAACTGCCCTTTGCACTGGGGCCTCTCTGTCACTGTCTGCATGAAAATCATTGACCGAACCATCTCCATCTTGCACCTCAGCCTCCATCTTGCACCTTTCGGTCAGCAAGTTCAGCAGCTCAACGGTATAACCTGTGGCAGCTCAGCGGTTTAACCTGAGAGCTCACAGAGAGAATCAGTGAACCATCATTGCTAGGCCCGGCAGGAATATTCTCATGAGAAACTGCCCTTTGCACTGGGGCCTCTCTGTCACTGTCTGCCTGAAAATCATTGACCGAACCATCTCCATCTTGCACCTCAGCCTCCATCTTGCACCTTTCGGTCAGCAAGTTCAGCAGCTCAACGGTATAACCTGTGGCAGCTCAGCGTTTTAACCTGAGAGCTCACAGAGAGAGGGAGTGAACCATCATTGCTAGGCCCAGCAGGGATATTCTCATGAGAAACTGCCCTTTGCACTGGGGCCTCTCTGTCACTGTCTGCATGAAAATCATTGACCGAACCATCTCCATCTTGCACCTCAGCCTCCATCTTGCACCTTTCAGTCAGCAAGTTCAGCAGCTCAACGGTATAACCTGTGGCAGCTCAGCGTTTTAACCTGAGAGCTCACAGAGAGAGGGAGTGAACCATCATTGCTAGGCCCAGCAGGGATATTCTCATGAGAAACTGCCCTTTGCACTGGGGCCTCTCTGTCACTGTCTGCATGAAAATCATTGACCGAACCATCTCCATCTTGCACCTCAGCCTCCATCTTGCACCTTTCGGTCAGCAAGTTCAGCAGCTCAACGGTATAACCTGTGGCAGCTCAGCGGTTTAACCTGAGAGCTCACAGAGAGAGGGAGTGAACCATCATTGCTAGGCCCAGCAGGGATATTCTCATGAGAAACTGCCCTTTGCACTGGGGCCTCTCTGTCACTGTCTGCATGAAAATCATTGACCGAACCATCTCCATCTTGCACCTCAGCCTCCATCTTGCACCTTTCGGTCAGCAAGTTCAGCAGCTCAACGGTATAACCTGTGGCAGCTCAGCGTTTTAACCTGAGAGCTCACAGAGAGAGGGAGTGAACCATCATTGCTAGGCCCAGCAGGGATATTCTCATGAGAAACTGCCCTTTGCACTGGGGCCTCTCTGTCACTGTCTGCATGAAAATCATTGACCGAACCATCTCCATCTTGCACCTCAGCCTCCATCTTGCACCTTTCAGTCAGCAAGTTCAGCAGCTCAACGGTATAACCTGTGGCAGCTCAGCGTTTTAACCTGAGAGCTCACAGAGAGAGGGAGTGAACCATCATTGCTAGGCCCAGCAGGGATATTCTCATGAGAAACTGCCCTTTGCACTGGGGCCTCTCTGTCACTGTCTGCATGAAAATCATTGACCGAACCATCTCCATCTTGCACCTCAGCCTCCATCTTGCACCTTTCGGTCAGCAAGTTCAGCAGCTCAACGGTATAACCTGTGGCAGCTCAGCGGTTTAACCTGAGAGCTCACAGAGAGAGGGAGTGAACCATCATTGCTAGGCCCAGCAGGGATATTCTCATGAGAAACTGCCCTTTTCACTGGGGCCTCTCTGTCATTGTCTGTATGAAAATCATTGACTGAACCATCTCCATCTTGCACCTCAGCCTCTGCACTATCATTTCTCTCAGCATTGCCCACATCACTGCCCACATCATCAGAAGCATCATGATCCTGGAACACAAACACGGGCTGATTCCCAACACTTGGAGACTTTGAAAGAGAGGCTGGATGGCCACCTGTCGAGGATGTTTTATAATGCAGCTCCTTAAAGCTGCACCACAGGGCAATGTAGATAGGGTCCCAGTAGTGAATGTATAGCTCCTTGGTCTCCTTGTTTGTCCCATTGGAAGGTCCCTCTAGAGACCATTCAGTCCAACCTCAACAACACCGAGCTGCCCGGAAGACATCCAATTAAAGACACCCCATCACTTACTGGATGTTAAAGCAGATTAGACTAAATTGGGAGGGATAGCCAATGCTCCAGAGGACAGGAGCAGAATTCAAAGCGATCTTCACAGATTAGAGAGATGATGGGCCAAAATTCACAAAATGAAGTTCAACAGTGACAAATGCAAGAGACTCCACTTAGTCAGAAAAAATGAAATGCAAAGTGACAGAATGGGGGACAATGCCTGGCTTGAGAGCAGAATGTGGGAAAAAGATCTTGGAGTCCTCTTGGACAAGATAAACATGAGCCAACAATGTGATGCGGTGGGATTTTGGCCCGCATCAATAGGAGCCTAGTGTCTAGATCAGGGGTCCTCAAACATTTAAACAGAAGGCTGGGTCACAGTCCCTCAAACTGTTGAAGGGCCAGATTATAATTTGAAAAATTAATGAATGAATTCCTGTGAACACTGCACATATCTTATTTGTAGTGCAAAAAACACTTAAAACAATACAATAATTAAAATGAAGAACAATTTTAACAAATATAAACTTATTAGTATTTCAGTGGGAAGTGTGGGCCTGCTTTTGGCTGATGAGATAGGATTGTTGTTGTTGTGTGCTTTCAAGTCGTTTCAGACTTAGGTTGACCCTGAGTGAGGGCCGGGTAAATGACCTTGGAGGGCCGTATCCGGCCCCCGGGCCTTAGTTTGAGGACCCCTGATCTGGATCAAGGGAAGTCATGCTCCCCATGCCCTATTCTGCCTTGGTTAGATCACACCTGGGATCACACTGTGTTCCATTCTGGGCACCACAATTGAAGGGAGATATTGGCAAGCTGGAATGTGTCCAGAGGCGACTCAAATGATCAAGGGTCTGGAGAACAAACCCTATGAGGAGGGGCTTAAAGAGCTGTGCATGTTTAGCCTTCAGAAGAGAAGGCTGAGAGGAGACATGATAGCCATGTATAAATATGTGAGAAGTCATAGGGAGGAGGGAGCAAGCTTCCTTTCTGCTTCCCTGGAGACTAGGACGCAATGGAACAATGGCTTCAAACTAGCAAATATTGACAATTTATTCACACTGCCATTACTTGCAGCAATAGCCGATGTAGCGAAGCAACCAAGTTGGGTGTGTGTGTGTTGAATGTTCCCATTAAGGAGGCCAGACTTGGTGGAGGTGGTTGACAGGGGCGGAGCTGCAGGCTATTGAAAGCTGCTCTGCCCCCTGCTGTGCTCTTTGCTTCAGCGTGAGCTAGGAGGCAGGTTTCCCCCCCCCCCCCAATTTTCAACCCCCCCCCCCCCCGAAATTTTCAACCCTCCCTGAAATTTTTTTCTGGCTATGGCCCTGCTTCCAACTCTAGGATTCTATGATTCCTTTCTGCTTCCCTGGAGACTAGGACGCAATGGAGCCATGGCTTCAAACTACAAGAAAGGATATTCCACCTGAACATGAGGAAGAACTTCCTGACTGTGAGAGCTGTTCAGCAGTGGAACTCTCTGCTGCAGAGAATGGTGGAGGCTCCTTCTTTGGAGGCTTTGAAGCATAGGCTGGATGACCATCTGTCAGGGGTGCTTTGGATGTGTTTTTCCTGCTTCTTGGCAGAATGGGGTTGGACTGGATGATGGCCCAGGAGGTCTCTTCCAACCAGGCCTGTAGCCGGGGGAGTGGTGGTTAGGGGTTCAAACCCCCCCCCCAAATTTTTCAGGTTAAAAAACCCCCTGGTTTACTCATGAATTTTAACTGGTTAACCAAATCCCCATGCTAAATCTATGAGATGCAAACAATTAAGAGTCCCTCCAGAACTGCAAGCATGATCTCAAGCAAATATTGACAATTTATTCACACTGCCATTACTTGCAGCAATAGCTGATGTAGCGAAGCAACCACTGGAATGTGTCCAGAGGAGAGCGACTAAAATGATAAAAGGTCTGGAGAACAAGCCCTATGAGGAACGGCTTAAGGAGCTGGGCATGTTTAGCCTGAAGAAGAGAAGGCGGAGAGGAGATATGATGAGGGCCATGTATAAATACGTGAGAGGAAGCCACAGGGAGGAGGAGGGAGCAAGCTTGTTTTCTGCTTCCCTGGAGACTAGGACGCAAGGGAACAATGGCTTCAAACTACAAGAAAGGAGATTCCATCTGAACATGAGGAAGAACTTCCTGACTGTGAGAGCGTTCAGCAGTGGAACTCTCTGCCCGGAGTGTGGTGGAGGCTCCTTCTTTGGAAGCTTTTAAGCAGAGGCTGGATGGCCATCTGTCAGGGGTGATTTGAATGCGATGTTCCTGCTTCTTGGCAGAATGGGGTTGGACTGGATGGCCCAGGAGGTCTCTTCCAACTCTAGGATTCTATATTAATAAGACGATACTAATGAACTCTCTTCCTCCTCCCGTTCCAGACCTCCGGATCCCCCTGATGTGGAAGGACACCGAATACTTCAAGAACAAGGGGGGTAAGTTCTCCTCAGAGGCTTTGCATCAAAAGCCAATGGGGAAATGCAAATTGTGTTGGCTCCTGACACAGAGATTCCCTTGTGTCTCAATGAACTGATTACAAGCATAATTCTGGAGTTAGGCGCATGTCGACATCCTAGCACATGTTGATCATGAGTTCAGGAATGGATTTAATTATCTTCTTTTTTACCAGAAAATTGTGAACTGATTTGATTTTAATGGGTTAGATTTTGCAGTTTGTGGTGGAATGAAAATCACGTGTAGCTCACGTCTTTGCCAATCCACACACTGTCTTGGTAGAGAAAAGATATGCCACGTAGATGATCAGTAAAGAATAAGGTGTTTACTCTTTGTTATGCAGAGCAACACCAATACAGGAGATTCCCCCAGGCACGGCCAGGCCATCAAATGCTAATCAAGGTGGTCAGTTGAAACATTCACACCTAGCTCCAGCAGACAAGAGTTCCTTGTTCCACCCTGGTCATTCCACAGATATATAAACCCTTTTTCCTACTTCCCACAGACCTCACTACCTCTGAGGATGCTTGCCATAGATGCAGGCGAAACGTCAGGAGAGAATGCCTCTAGAACATGGCCATATAGCCCGGAAAACCTTCAACAACCCAGTGATTCCGGCCATGAAAGACTTCGACAATACAACATCAATACAGGTTGTTGTAGGTTTTTTCGCTATATGGCCATGTTCTAGAGGCATTCTCTCCTGACGTTTCGCCTGCATCTATGGCAAGCATCCTCAGAGGTAGTGAGGTCTGTTGGAACTAGGAAAAAAGGGTTTATATATCTGTGGAATGACCAGGGTGGGACAAGGGACTCTTGTCTGCTGGAGCTAGGTGGGAATGTTTCAACTGACCACCTTGATTAGCATTTGATGGCCTGGCAATTGTTTGGTGTGGCTTGTTAGTGCCTGGGGCAATCTTTTGTTGAGAGGTGATTAGATGTCCCTGATTGTTTCCTCTCTGTTGTTTTGCTGTTGTAATTTTAGAGTTTTTTAATACTGGTAGCCAGATTTTGTTCATTTTCATGGTTTCTTCCTTTCTGTTGAAATTGATCATATGTTACGAGAACAGTTGCATTGGCTCACAGCATGTCCTTTGAGAGAGATTCAAATGGTCCTTACGTGTCCATATGAAGGATCTCCTTCCAGCAGCCAAGGAACAAAAATACAGAACTGTCTTGGGAGGTCTTGCACAGAAAATTTATTTTATTTATTTATTTACAACATTTCTACCCCACACTTCTCAACTCCTGAGGGGGGACTCAGAGTGGCTAACAATGGCAACAATTTGATGCAAATATCACAGTAAACAATAATATAAAACCATAAATGCACAATAGATTAAAAACAATAACATTAGTTATACAATCATATAGCCCTTTCCATTATTAAAACAATCATATCAGAAAACCTAAACATGTAACTGTTGCCAAAACTCCTAGGCTCAGCTAGCTTCTTAGTGTGGCCCATCCAATCGGCCTCGTGCTTTGCATTTTTCAGTTAACACACTCACCAACTGATTTTTACATGCTCCAATACAGTTAGCTGACTTATATGGCTCTGCACCAGGCATGGGCAAACTTGGTCCCTCCAGGTGTTTTGGACTTATGTAACGGTTGCCAAAACTCCCAGGCTCAGCTAGCTTCTTGGCGTGGCCCGTCCAATCAGCTTCGTGCTTTGCATTTTTCAGTTAACATGTGCACCAACTGATTTTTACATGCTCCAAAACAGTTAGCTGCCTTATATGGCTCTGCACCAGGCATGGGCAAACTTGGTCCCTCCAGGTGTTTTGGACTTAAACATGTAACAGTTGCCAAAACTCCCAGGCTCAGCTAGCTTCTTGGCGTGGCCCGTCCAATCAGCTTCGTGCTTTGCATTTTTCAGTTAACACACTCACCAACTGATTTTTACATGCTCCAATATAGTTAACTGCCTTATATGGTTCTGCACCAGGCATGCGCAAACTTGGTCCCTCCAGCTGTTTTGGACTCCAACTCCCACAATTCCTAACAGCCGGTAGGCTGTTAGGAATTGTGGGAGTTGGAGTCCAAAACACCTGGAGGGACCAAGTTTGCCCATGCCTGCTCTACCCTGACCAAATAATGCAGACTAAAGCTGTGAAGTATTGCAATGTAAATCTAGTCTTTGTCCTATGATGGGATCTCCAAAGGTCATCTAGTCCACCCTTCTGATGCTGTTGCAGGAAATCTGCAGCATATCCAGCCTGGAGATCTTGCTGTTCAGCTTCATTTTTTGGCAAGAGGGGCATAATGTGGGTGGGTTTTGGGGGGCCCTGGATGTGAGACCCTCTGCTTCCTCCCCATCACAGACTTGCATCGTTGCGCCAATCTTTTTATGGTTCCAGGAGAGCTCCAGAAAGTGAGAAAGCAATTGGTGGTAGAGTTCAAATTGGCAGAACTTTGAGAACAGCATCCTCTTGTAAAGTTCATAAACATATGCTTTCATCTATTTCCTGAGGCAAAGGATTTCCATGCACGGCCCGCGAGGCAAGCCCAGCGCCCCCACATCCATCCTAAAGGTCACAGGTTCAAATTCGGGGAGCAGTGTGAGCTCCCGCTGTCAGTCCCAGCTTCTGCCAACCTAGCAGTTTGAAAACATGCAAATGTGAGTAGATCAATAGGTACCGCTGGCGGGAAGGTAATGGCTCTCCATGCAGTCATGCCTGGCCACATGACCTTGGAGGTCTATGGACAACGCCAGCTCTTCAGCTTAGAAATGGAGATGAGCACACACCCCCGAATCAGACACGATTGGACTTCATGTCAGGAGAAAACCTTTACCTTTAACGTACAGTGGCCAACTGCTTATAATTCCTTCCCTCAAATTGGAACTCTAGGTGCAACTCCTGACACAGCTTCCCTTTTGGTTTGGGCTCAGTACTAAGATGAGGTAAAGGTCAAGGTAAAGGTAAAAGTTTTCCCCTGACATTAAGCCTAGTCTTGCCCAATTCTGGGACTCTGATGCTCATCTCCATTTCTAAGCTGAGGAGCTGGCATTGTCCGTAGACACCTCCAAGGTCATGTGGTCAGCATGACTGCATGGAGCGCCATTACCTTCCCGCTGGAGCGATACCTATTGATCTACTCACATTTGCATGTTTTTGAACTGCTAGGTTGGCAGAAGCTGGGGCTGACAGTGGAAGCTCACGCCAGATTTGAACCTGAGACCTTTCAGTCAACTAAGATGTCTCTCTGTGTGTTCTCCTTTACAAATAATTCTGCTCCTTTATCTCACTTAAGCATGTAACTGTTGCCAAAACTCCCAGGCTCAGCTAGGCTGAGTTTTAAAATCATTTTATGTACATGCGGCACACTCACTGTCATTATGTTTGGTTTACAGCTTTTTTTTGCTTTTTTTCTTTTTATGTTTTGTGTATATTGTTTATATGCTTACATGTTTAATATATTAATGCTATGTTGTTTATTTTATTGCAATTTGTATCTTATTTTATTGTATTCTGTTGTTCGGGCTTGGCCTCATGTAAGCCGCTCCGAGTCCCCGTTGGGGAAGATGGTGGCGGGGTATAAATAAAGTTGTTTATTATTATTATTATTATTATTATTATTATTATTATTATTATTATTATGCAAATCTAATTTTTGGCAAGGCAATGTTGTCAAAATAGGTGGGCAATTAGATCTGAGGAAATAGGGTCTCTGTATTGTCTAAGGTTTTCATGGCCGGAATCACTGGGTTGTTGTAGGTTTTTCCGGGCAATATGGCCATGTTCTGGAGGCAATTTTTCGCCTGACGTTTCGCCTGCATCTGTGGGTCTCTGATTTGCTCCATGGGCCACCTGTGTGGCCTCGAAGTGCCCCATGTTTGTGTGCCGGTGGCCTCTCCTCCTCCCCATTTGGCAACATGCATAAGAGATGTGTTGTCTAAGTCTTTTCTGGCTGGAATCACAGGGTTGCTGTGAGTTTTCCAGGCTGTATGGCCATGTTGCAGTAGCATTCTCTCCTGACATTTCACCTGCATCTGTGGCTGACATTGTCATAGGTTTGTTCAGAGCTCTGTTGCTAGTGAGGCAAGTGGGGTATATATATATACCTGTGGAATAATGTCCAGGATGGGAAAAAGAACTCTTTCTATTTGAGGCAAGTGTGAATGTTGCAATCAGCCACCTTGATTAGCAATTGACAGCTCCATGCAGCCATGCCGGCCACATGACCTTGGAGGTGGCTACGGACAACGCCGGCTCTTTGGCTTAGAAATGGAGATGAGCACCAGAGTCCCAGAGTCGGATACGACTGGACTCAATGTCAGGAGAAAACCTTTACCTTAGCCTTGCACCTGCAAAGACTGTTTGCTGCAGCCTAGGGACATCCTTTGTTTGGGAGGGGAGAGCTTGCTGGTCCAGTTTGCAATGAGCTGCTTTTCTATGCCCCCTCCCCAAACCCTCTTTGTCCCCCCAATAGCAGGGAAGCTGGCCCCGACTTTGAGCTGAAGGTGGAGCTCTACAGCGCCGGCTTGGAGGAGGACTCAGCCCTGGGCAGCACCCCAAAGAAGCTGGCCAGCCGCCTGAGCAGCTCCTTGGGGCGCTCCTCCGGGAAGCGGGTGCGGACGGCGATGGAGGGGCCCGGTGCCGTCCCTGGGAGCCCCCTGAGCAACGGAGGGAGCAGCCCACTCTTGCTGCCACCCCCCAGCGTGGCGTGAGTACCCCCCCCTTATCCCTCGGGCATCAAATGTGCATCTTTTTTGGGGGGGGGTGTGCCCTCCTGAACGCTCCCTCTCTTCCCTTGCAGGGGTCCCAAGTACCAGCTGCTGGCCTGCACCACCCTCCGCCTGACCCACATCCAGGACACCTTTCGCACCCACGATCTCGTTGTCACCAGCAATGGTATTTAAGGCGGGGAGTTATAGGGGGTTGTTGGGGTGCTGTGTGGGTCTCAGAAGGGTCCCAGCCTTGTAGGGCAGCATTGAAAAGCAGCATTTGTGCCCAAAATTGGAATGCTTTTGGGTGAAAAGTCCTTTTGGAGAAATCTCTCTGAATTGTCAAAGGCTTTCAGAGCTGGAATCAACTATTTTGTAGCAGCATTTTCTCCTGACGTTTCACCTGCACCTGTGGCTACTGGCATCTCCAGATGATCGGATGGTGGTCAAGCAAGTGGAGTATATATTCCTGTGGGAGTGTACACAGTGGGAGGAAAGAACCATTGTTTGTTAAACTAATGTAAAAGGTTCACAGCTGGAATCAGTGGGAAGTTCTATGGCTATTTTCTAGTAGCATTTTCTCCTGACGTTTCACCTGCACCTGTGGCTACTGGCATCTCCAGATGATCTGATGGTAGTCAAGCAAGTGGAGTATATATTCCTGTGGGAGTGTACACAGTGGGAGGAAAGAACCATTGTCTGTTAAACTAATGTAAAAGGTTCACAGCTGGAATCAGTGGGAAGTTCTATGGCTATTTTCTAGTAGCATTTTCTTCTGATGTTTCACCTGCACCTGTGGCTACTGGCATCTCCAGATGATCTGATGGTGGTCAAGGAAGTGGAGTATATATTCCTGTGGGAGTCTCCACGGTGGGAGGAAAGAACCATTGTCTGTTAAACTAATGTAAAAGGTATATGTGTTGTCGAAGGCTTTCATGGCTATAATCACTGGGTTGTTGTGAATTTTCTGGGCTGTCTGGCCATGTTGTAGAAGCATTCTCTCCTGATGTTTCACCCACATCCATGGCAGGCTTGCGCAGAGGTTAAGGGGTCTGTTGGAAACTAGGCAAGTGGGGTTGCTATATCTGATATATCTAGCAGAACTCTATTCTGCTAGAGGTAGGTGTGAATGTTGCAATTGGCCACCTTGATTAGCATTTAATAACCTTGCAGCTTCAAAGTCTGGCTGGTTGCCGCCTGAGGGAATCCTTTGTTGGGAGGTGTTAGCAGGCCCTGATTGATTCTTGTTTGGAATTCCCTTTCTCTTTACTTACGGTCCTGATTTTAGTTGTTTTTTTAAAATACTGGTTGCCAGATTTTGTTGATTTTTGTGATTTCCTCCTTTTATTGAAATTGTCCACATGCTTCTTGTGGATTTCAGTATTTTTTTCTGTGTAGTCTGACATGAACCAACCTGGGCACAGCATATTGTCAGTGTCATCGGCAGCACAGCAAGGCAGGAACAGATCAATCACAGCCACCTTAGGCTATAAACAACTTTATTTTACAACTTCAGCAAGGTCCATAAAAACAAAGTCTACACTTCTCTGTTATAATTCAGAAAGCCAGGAAACATTAATCCAAGGCACGAGTATGCATTCATACAATCCAATAATCCAAACCATGAAACAAGAAATACTTAGACAAGAATCTTCCCAGCAAGGCTTCCATGAACAAGGAAGAGAACTACACTTGATTCCAAACGATGCTTCGTCTGACTATATTTTCCATACTTGGAACTTTTATCCCCTCGTTAAACTATTCCAGGCACTCAGAAATTGGTTTCAATTTAGTTGAGATTCCCTTATCTTTTTCTGGCAGATCCTGGCAGACCGCCGAAGCCACTGTTCGGTCTGCCTGTTTTGACTAATCTCCTGCCTGGGTTGTTGTAGGCTTTTCCGGGCTATATGGCCATGTTCTGGAGGCAATTTTTCTCCTGACGTTTCGCCTGCATCTATGGCAAGCATCCTCAGAGGTAGTGAGATCTGTTGGAAGTAGGAAAAATAGGTTTATTGCCTCCAGAACATGGCCATATAGCCCGGAAAAACCTACAACAACCCAGTGATTCTGGCCATGAAAGCCTTCGACAATACAATCCCCTGCCTCCTATCTATTTGCTCATTAAGTTTTGCAGCTGGGCCAGGTGCCCAGTTGTTTTCATGACCCAAATCCTGGGAACCCTCTGGTAACAATTCAGGGAGTACACCATCATCCCAACACCCTTCAGGGACATTCTCATGGGAAACTCCACTTTGCACAGGGGTCTCCTGGTCCTTCTCTGCATCAATATCATTGACCAAACCATTGCCATCTTGAAATTCATTGGCATCACTTTCCACATCCAAAGCACCCTGATCCCGAAACACAATCACAGGCTGAACTCCAACAAGGTGCAGTGGGCTCCCCTTGAGCTCCATCCCATAAAACCCCCACTCCCCACAGCTGTTAGGTGCAATGGGGAGCATGAAGCCACAGCTTGCCTTAGACATCCAGGGAAAGGCAAAGGGGGGAATGCTTTGTCCATTCCCCCCATTGTACCAAGCCCAGCAATTGGTTCGAGGCTTGAATAATACACCTCTTTCCTTCCCTGCGTGATGAAAGTCCTGCACTGCTACCTGGTGCAGAATATCCTCTTTCTCTGTTTTTTAAGCATAGGCTGGATGGCCATCTGTTGGGAGGGCTTTGATTGTGTCTTCCAGCATAGGGGTCTGACCGGCTTCTCAAACTGTGGGTCCAGACCCCACTTGAGACCCCCTGAGCTCAATGATTGGGTCACAAAAAATTTTGCAAAAGATTTCTGAATGCCACCCAGTTGCACAAAATGGTTAGCAAGAACATGCAGTGTTTAGAGTGGACTCTGCAGAAAAGTCTTCAACTATACTCCACAAAAAAAGGAAAGTCATGCTATTTTAGCAATTCTTAGAAATGCTGGCTTGTTTTGAGTCAGTGTACATACCTATATACCTAGGTTTCTCTCTTTTTTCTCTCCCCCCCCCCTCCTAAATGTCACAGAGGAAAGCTCCTTCTGGCTCCCGCTTTATGGCAGCGTCTGCTGTCGCCTGACCGCTCAGCCCAACTGCATGGTGCACCAGATGATGTGCGGCTTCCTCAAGGTCCAGGTAGGAGCTTTTCCCATGGGCAAGTGGGGAGGGCATGCTTCAAACCTGATTGGTGCCTGGAATAAGTTCTTCTCAGAAGCAGCTGGAGGATTTTGTGTTATAACAGCGGTTCTCAACCGGGGGGTCGTTTGGCCACTTGGAGTGCTTCCGGTGTTGCTGCAAGAAGGTCCTCCCTTGTGCATGTGGCTGGGCTCAGGTTGCATTGCAACAGGTGGTCAGTGGTTTGCTCTTCTCCACATTCGCATGTCGAGGATTCCACTTTGTAGCCCCATTTCTGAAGGTTGGCTCTGCATCTCGTGGTGCCAGAGCGCAGTCTGTTCAGTGCCTTCCAAGTCGCCCAGTCTCTGTGTGCCCAGGAGGGAGTCTCTCATTTGGTATCAGCCATTGGTTGAGGTTCTGGGTTTGGGCCTGCCACTTTTGGACTCTCGCTTGCTGAGGTGTTCCAGCGAGTGTCTCTGTAGATCTTAGAAAACTATTTCTAGATTTAAGTCTTTGATGTGCTGGCTGATACCCAAACAGGGGATGAGCTGGAGATGTCTCTGCCTTGGTCCTTTCACTATTGGCTGCTACTTCCCGGCGGATGTCAGGTGGTGCAATACCGGCTAAGCAGTGTAATTTCTCCAGTTGTGTAGGGCGCAGACACCCCGTGATAATGCAGCATGTCTCATTAAGAGCCACATCCACTGTTTTAGTGTGGTGAGATGTGTTCCACACTGGGCATGCATACTCAGCAGCAGAGTAGCATAGCGCAAGGGCAGATGTCTTCACTGTGTCTGGTTGTGATCCCCAGGTTGTGCCAGTCAGCTTTCGTATGATATTGTTTCTAGCACCCACTTTGTGCTTGATGTTCAGGCAGTGCTTCTTGTAGGTCAGAGCACGGTCCAGAGTGACTCCCAGGTATTTGGGTGTGCTGCAATGCTCCAGTGGGATTCCTTCCCAGGTGATCCTCAGAGCTCGGGATGCTTCTCTGTTCTTGAGATGAAAGGCACATGTCTGTGTTTATGAGCTGTCCCTAAGCCATGCTTTCTGTCTGTGCAGCAGGGGGACCAACAAGGGTGGCTGCGCCTCTTCTCCGTCCTGCGTGGGCCCAAGCTCTTCTGCTACCGGCTTCCCCAGGATGCGGAGACCCAGGAGGAGCCTGCCTTCACCATTGCCATCAACAAGGTACACTACTAAACTACAATTAGGTGGATCTGTAATCAAAACTACGGTTAGGTAGACCTGTAATTGGTTAGGCAAATGAACCCAGAGGGTGATTTTCCCCAATGCTTCCTCCTCTTCATCTTGGAAAGAAGTGATGAGTGGAGTACCATCAGCAGGGTTCCGTCCTGGGCTCGGTCCTGTTCAGGGTCATTGCCTGGAACTCATTACCTGGAGAGATCAGGAAAGCCCCTTCACTAGAAACATTCGAAAAGAACCTTAAAACCTGGCTCTTCCGCTGTGCCTTTGGCAAGTAGGTGTACAACATGACACTATTGCTCCCCTCAACGCTTCTGCAACTGGAGTACACGCCCTCCAAATGGGAAGTTTAGTTTCACAACCCTGTGTGTTTTTATGAGCTCCCTGCAAATAACCTGCTCCTATTTTTATGGGCATGTTTAGCCCGAAGAAGAGAAGGCTGAGAGGAGATATGATAGCCATGTATAAGTATGTGAGAGGAAGTCACAGGGAGGAAGGAGCAAGCTTGTTCTCTGCCTCCCTGGAAACTAGGATGCAATGGAGCAATGGCTTCAAACGACAAGAGAGGAGATTCCATCTGAACATGAGGAAGAACTTCCTGACTGTGAGAACTGTTCAGCAGTGGAAAACTCTGCCCCAGAGTGTGGTGGAGGCTCCTTCTTTGGAGGCTTTTAAACAGAGGCTGGATGGCCATCTGTCAGGGGTGCTTTGAATGCAATATTCCTGCTTCTTGGCAGAAGGGGTTGGACTGGATGGCCCAGGAGGTCTCTTCCAACTCTAGGATTCTCCGATTCTATGATCTCTTTAGAGTCTTTTAATCATTTTAACCTGTACATGTGGCCCGCCCACTGCTATTGTCATTGTGTTTATTGAAATGTTATTTTGTTGTTGTGTCTATACTTCTTTTCTATGTAATTTTGTTTATGTTGCTTGTTGTCTATGTTTTGGTTTTATTTTGCTGTAACGTGTTGTCCGGGCTTGGCCCCATGTAAGCCTCTCCGAGTCCCCATTCGGGAGATGGTGGCGGGGTATAAATAAAGATTATTATTATTATTATTATTATTAATGACATAAGGGTGAGAAGGCAG